ACCACACGCCGCTTCAAACAAACGAAGCATAAGATCATCAAAACGTCAAAAGAGTTGCCAAGTATTGTCTAAGAAATCGTCCTTTTTTAAAAATACACAAAATTGGCAGTAATAACGAGCATGCGCGTTTTAAAATGAAAGCCAAGAGTCATGCACAATGATTTATATTTACCATGGTAAATCTTTTGACGGGATTTAAGAATGAAATGAATGTTGTTTGTAAAAATATTTGCCAGTGAACACCTAATAAATAAGAATAAAATCAAACATTGTTTTAATTTTATTTTGCGTCCACCTCCTTTGTTACCAAGCGGTGAACAGTGTTTATCGTACAGCAATAATGGAATTGTCTAAGCATGAAAAGCAATGAGTTTCTCTGTCGGACGCAATCGCTACAACGCAAAACATAATTAATATTTCTTCGTTCTATGATGATACTTTCACTGATGCTAATTTTCGAGCTGATTAACAATGGCGTCAATCATCAGAAACGATTGATAATTGTTGCTTAATTCTCGTTGCAGTCAAAATGAAGGCTGAAAAAGACCTTATCAAACTAAGAACTTACTAGTTACTATACCTTGTATTTACACAAACGTTGTCGAAGAAAAAAGAACTTTTACTATTTAGGAATTAACTAAAATACAAAAGAAAGTGTTCGGCTTCAGTGGTCATTTTGTCTTTTAATGTATTCCTAATTTCCTAAATCCCTAAATCTCAGAACAACGTTTTCGTAATTAGGTGTATGTTATTGCATTGTTTAGGAGAAATGTGCATATTACAATCAATATAACAATCTTGATAATGAATGCACCATTCATAATTCATATTTCCGTTAAAAAGTAAAACTAGTTCAACGATTATAATGGAAACAGCAATGGCAGAGACAGATAGCTGTTTCCGTTTGTAACGTAACCTATAAATTAAAATAATTTTAAGCAAAACGAACTTTAAGACGAGAATACTACACCAGAAATAAACTCACAAAAATTATATTTTGTAAGACGGCTCATCTAATTCTTCATATTTGTAAATATGTAACTTGTATGATTTTCATTTATAATCATTATTGTCATAAAGTGACGGAGGCTGACACATTATAACCATACATGTAAACAGGACATGCGTAATAAATGCTGTTGACATCCAATAAGCGGTATCAGTCTAGAGGAAGTACTAGACAGCATAACTGCAGTGATACAATTGACCTATCTTCCCCTTTAAAGCCTATCAAACGTTTGATTTATCTTCAGAGAATTAGTTGATGAATGGTATTGAAGAAGAAATATCTGTAGTATGGTATTTGTAGCCTAAACCATTCACTCTAAACCATAAAATGTAATATGGTATATATGCGGAAGTGAACAGAATAAGTGACGACGGAACAACACCCCATTCTAAGGTAAGTAAGGAAGGTTTACTAAGGTATGCTCAATGACGATTTAGTCTTAACACTTAACGTATCTAAAGAATTATCAAAATATATTATCATACGTTAAACAGAACTGTCGTGTATCGTGTTAGGCATTCGCTTCTTCATGCGTTGACAACTTTTCTAGAAAATTCTCTTATTAGGTGACAATAACAATTAAGAAAGTCGACTAGAGGACGGATAGTTATCAATACCTATTACATTTGACAAAGGTGGAGATAGATACACGCCACCTAATTAAATTGAACTAAAATAAGAACTCAGGAGGCAGCTGCGGAGGAAAAATTCTCATGCACAAAGTTGTGTTCTCGCTGGATAGCTAGGAGTAAAGAGGGCGGACTTAGCCTATCCCTTCTCTCTAGGCGGTACAACTTTTGCCTATAACTATCGCATGCAACATGCGTAAGTCATCCTTATAACATGCTTACAACTGTCGTAAGAGATTAAAAACAATCTTTTGATAATCCTACTACAGTTGTAGCCATGTTGTAAGGATGACTCACGAAAGTTGCATGCGATAGTTATAGGCAAAAGTTGTACCGCCTAAATAGGCCTTAAAGAATTATCAAAAAATGTTACCATACGTTTAACATCGTGCATCGTGTTAGGCATTCGCTTCTTGTATGCGTTGACAACTTTTCTAGAGAATTATCTTACGAGTCTACTGTTTTGATACCAACCAAGCAAGTACATCAATGTAACCTCTCTTAACTTGAAAGGTAATAGAATAATCAAAAAAAAACTCAATATACAGATTACAATTAATTCTAAGCCCCATGATGCAACCTTCTTGTGCCAAAGAATGTTTTTCTAATTTCGGTGCATATAAGTATGCCTCGTTTTCAGTCTCTTTTTCCTACTTAGAGAAATAAACTCTTGTGTTGTAGTTCCGGTACAATGATTAAAGCAGACCGAAAGTGGGCGATAATTGTTAACATTATCATAGTGACGCTGTCTGGTACTTCTGCAAGCGATTCCGAAGGTAATTGTCAATATCACTGTATATATTTGATATTTCAAAACAAAAATTAAACACTTACACTTAACAATTAGACCTTGAGGTCGAGTGGACTACAAGCTAATTGCCCATGAGGCCGAGTCCGCGAGGCCGAATGGGCTATTAGCTCGTAGTCCACGAGGCCGAGGAGTCTAATTGTTTTAGTATAAACATACTAATTGGTCAAATAATGAAAACAAATTGAAATATCCTTAAAATAATTTATTGATGAGATTGATTTTCCCGCGAGTGGTCTATCACAAATTAGACCATTAGTAGAGTAGCCAATCACAGCGCAATATGGGTGATAGACCATTAATATGTTTATACTAAAACTAAATAGTCAGCCAGTCATTATTAACTTGATAAACAAATCACAGCAGGGGATTTGAAAAAGGACAATGAGCATCAATGTGATGATTTTTAAAATAGAAGTACGAGAAGCACGAGCTCTTTCACTTTCCAACAAGCACTTCTAGGTTTGCAAAACTGTACATGAAAACATTTTGCTTCTGTTTCAAAAAATATGACAAACATGCACGGACTTGAATTCTAGTCATAGTTTGCTCTTGACGCACATTAATCACTGGCTTTGAATTAAAAGAAATATAGTTAAATTCATTTAAGAATTAAAATTTCTTAGAGAAAAAGGATACCTCAAACACTAGAAATTTTTTGTTTCGAATAAAAAAAAAAACAATCGAGCAGAAGAAATCAAACTTTTGCTAAGTAAATGTTCGAAAATAAGCACACACTGGTGAGTAAAATATCAAATATAGTTACTAACCTATGAATTAAAAAAATATATATCAGGCAAGCACCCACAGAAAAACATCGACAGCTAACTAATTTCTTTTTAGACGTGTTCAACTGTTCGCGATATGAGTTTTACACTGATTCGAAGACATGGACGGGAAGTAAAGAAGAGTGCGGCAAAAAAGAAAATGGAACTTTGATATGCATGGAAACGTACGCAGAATGGGATTTCATAAAAAATAAGATAGAAAATGGAAATTATGGGAACGGGCAAGAATGGTTTATTGGTTTACTCTGTCAGAACAAAGACGAACAGAAATGTAAGGAGAACAATCAATGGAGCTGGGTAAACGGAAAATCGTTAAACTGGAGGTGGACATTGCCATGGCAAAATGGTAAAAATGAAGCAGATGGTAACGGACTTTATGCAAAAGTATGGAAAAATGAAGACGATTACGTTTTTGATGATGTCACAAATAACAGAGGAGAGAAGATAGGCTACATATGTGAATATCCAAATGGTAAGTGCAGATACTTTTATACAAAGAACGTCATCAAGTAAAAACAAAAAGTTTATTAATCAGAAATATTCATGTATTCTTATTTAGTAAATTCTGGAACATGTAAAGTGAGTAAGAGACCATTGGAAACAACACTACCATCAGTCTCAAAGACAACTACAGGTATTTTCATCACTGTTATTACCATCTATAATTAAACTAATTAACTCATCATAAACTTATTTAAACCGGTTGAAAACCAGGCTTTGCAAGCTCGAATGGTTTATAAGTACCTTCTATTCAATTTCTAGGAACCCAAAGTACGACAAAAAAGAAGACAACTACGGGTATTTTCATCACTGTTATTATCATCTATAATTAAACTAATTAACTCATCATAAACTTATTTAAACCGGTTGAAAACCAGGCTTTGCAAGCTCGAATGGTTTATAAGTACCTTCCATTCAATTTCTAGGAACCCAAAGTACGACAAAAAAGAAGACAACTACGGGTATTTTCATCACTGTTATTACCATCTAGTATAATTAAACTAATCAATTAATCATAAAATTCAAACCGGTTGAAAACCAGGCTTTGCAAGCTGGAATGGTTTATAAGTACCTTCTATTCAATTTATAGGAACCCAAAGTACGACAACCAAAATGACAACAACTTCCGCATCAATAAAGAAGACAACACCTACAAGTTCCAGACAAAGTACAGACACACTAAAGACAACTGAACATACTGTTCCTTCAACTAACACCAATATCGTTCGGACTATACAGAGTGATTCAGTTACCTCTTCAACATCAATACGTACTCAATCAAGGGAAATAACGCCTTACAAAACATCGCCAACTAAGATAAGTCCAAATCCAAAGGAAAATATATCAGGTTAGAGTTGAAGAAGACATAATTATGTGATACTAAACTTAGGACCAACATTAGAGTGAAGGCATTGATCCTGTGAAATAAAAGTTAATAATTAAACTGTAATAGTCAAATAGACACAAAAGAAAACAATGGAATTATCGAGTAATAACATTTAATAGTCAAATATGTATTTCACGGGTTCATTGACTTCACTCTAAATGATCTTACTTATATCCCCTTATTTTGGTTGTATTTATTCAAATGTTTAGTTCTTTATGTTGCACTGTTATTTTGCAGTTTTGAGTTGTATGTCCTCTTGTAATTATTGACACACTCTTGATGTCATAAAATGTTTAAAACTCAAGTGGACCTACAAGCGCAGAGAGTCAGTCAATGCGCACAAGAAAATGTAGACCGGAGGAAATTCGACATCAACCAGTCGGATCTTTCCATTTGCTCGCGTCCAGGCCCCAATATAGACGGTCATAAAATGAAATGTAATGATACAAAAAACTACTTCATGGATAATCATGATTGTATAATACTCTAGCAGTCACTTTACTTGTGTCTTCACAGAAGAAAAGCAAATCCAAAAAGAAGAATTTCCCATCACATACCTCGCCATTGCGCTTGCTGTGCTCCTACTCTTCTTGATCTGTATGTTGGTAGCGATTTACTGCTGGAGAAATAAGAAGAAAGGTAAAATCATTCAATTAACTATTACATTTAATAAATTGTGTAATAAACATTGCACCTGTTTATTCGATTATGGTGCATGGTCTCCGCTCTCGTTGAATTTTCTGCCATTATGGTTGTATGTTAAAATCTTAGTATCTAAACTGAGTGCTGGGGTTGATGATTTACTGATATGTGATCTTTAAACATTTTTAATCATCTAATGTTCAGATAAAGTCCGAGGTTCTGAGGAAGCTGGGTAAGTAGATGTAAATGAGTGGTTTAATTGTTAATTAAAATGAACACAGGATAACGAACCAACTTATTCAATATTTAAAGTGCTTGTTTTAACAGAATTCAATCTCCAACGACAGACGTTAGTGAAATCATGAAAAGCAACTCCTTCGTGGCGTTCAAAATGGTGCACAACAATATAGGTGATGGAAAACAACCAGGTGCTAAACTTACTAACGACGCTACACTAACAGACGGCACATATGCTGAAATCAAGCGAAGCACATCTGCAAGCACACCGCCTGGAAAAGCTGTAAATATGAACGAAAACTCGACAAGTTCCCCATCACAAGAGGAAAAAAATGTAGAAGTTGTCTACGCAGCGGTTGATAAATCAGCGAAAAAGAAGAAGGTAAGGCTGTATACATACTTCTATACGTCCCTTTGCAGGGGTCACCTTGAGTTTCGGAACACCTTTCTTGGCAGACAAAGTCTTAATTTATTTATCAAATCTATTAATAGGATAGTACATATTGAGATAGTCCAACAGTTTGTTCGGTGTGAATCCAAAACAATATTCGTGTAATTTAATTTTCAGTAAATCACGAAAAAAGTCCGAGCCACCTACCCCACCCCCTCCCCCCATGGAACCCTTACACACGCCCCTGTTTTTATTCACTCATGTTAATATACTAGTCTCTTTAAAAAGCAAAAAGGAATTGAAATCAAAGATCATTCGACCGAAGCGCTTGTTTAGTCTTTTGTAATGTACTTATCTTTACCGAAACAAATGTATCCTTTTTTCTACGACAATGTTTTTGAATTCTCCAGTTTTGAGATCTTATTTGTGCAGCCTTAACCTCGAAAGCATGTAATATATTCTTTTATTCAGCAGAGATCCTATTGTAATGCAAACTTTCTGAATAAAAAGAAAACAATAAAAATTTATGCTTGATTGAAAATAAGTTTGCACCAAGAGGATTCGAAACTGAAGTATTTAAGTGTCTTCCGAATCTTTCCACAGGGAAACCAAGAGCCACAAGTCACTTATGCAGACCTGGCATCATTCAACAATAACGAGGATACAGTCGTCCATATGCCACCACCCTACCAGCCTGTCCAATATGCTGAGATTATCGGCACCAAGACTTCCAAAGGAAAATAACTAAATCAACAGATCTTATAACCAAAATGGCTGCAATTCTGAACAAAGTTTACCACAGAAGGGGGATATAAAAGTTTAACCGCTGTACAGTTTGAATTTCATGCTCCGAAATATTCATCGAACAAATGTATGCCCATTGGAACATATCTTAAGCAAAAGTTTACTCCCTCTAAAGGAAAAATTAGGGATATCTGTATTGATTTCTTAGAACCAGTCGAGTTTGAATCCAGCTAATATGCTAATCAGGTGAATATTTTGGAGAAGAGTGGGTTGACTACGGACATTTCAATTTCCATATGATCATTTGGCTTGATTTTATATCTTATATGTCTTAAAGCATTAAACGGAGCGTTGCTGCGTCACCGGACTTTTTCTTTGTTTTCGCCGTTTATACTTACATAACCAAGAAAATGTCCGAATTCCGAACGCAGACTACGGAGACACTATACTTTTATCGAATAGCTTTGTGTTAAGTCTAGAATATTGCTTTAAGCATGTAAATGTCTATTACTCTGCCAATATGAGCAAAAGTCTCAGACCCATTTCTGAAACGCTGGATCTCGCAAGTATTTAAATTCAATGCAAATTATTTCGTTTTATATAATGTGCAAGTGCGCCAAATAAACTGACGCACGAAATAAAGAAAATGACGCATAATACGTGATATATAGCCTGCGTACATCCGGTTTATTTACGAGTAAAAGCTGGATGGAACTTAGGCTACCTGATGCTTATTGCATGAAAACAACTGAAAAAGAATAGAATAGAATAGTATGTACAATTCAGAGTTCCCGTTAGAAACTAAAAATAATCAGCTATTGTAAGAGCAACAGCGATAGCAGAGACAGATTGCTGTTTCATTCTCCATTTGTTGACCAATCTTGGAAAGCTCTCCACATTTGTGGTGCATAATTATTATTGTCCGTACATTCTCAGGTTTGCACGCTAAATCACAGCCGCTATAAATTAGATGAATATAACTAAGCATTCTTCAGTAGTTTCTCTTGTTTATTCATCCAACATGGCAGCGATCTAGTTGCTCCTTGTTTCTTTACCATTCTAGTTATGTTAGAGCAATTTTCATCCGTCTGTGAAACAATTGCTATTAGTCAGTGTTTAATAGTAACTATTAGGGTGTAGTAGGCTACCAAAAGGCAAAATCAAAACCGTGTTTGTCTAACTAGTTTTTGTTGCATGTCATAAGTTAAACTATTGGGAGCTAATAGGGGAAAATAGTATTTAATAGTATACAATTCCTATTTCACAGACGGATGAAAAGACTCTATTGCACAAGAATCGACTACAAAAATATCCTTTAGAACTGAAAATAGATCTATAACGTCTACAATATACACGTGCCATGACCATTGTAATGTATCCAGTTACACAATGTGGTGCATATACACTGATACACCAGACTGACAGATACCCATACATGTCAAATAATACGCAGTAATTATGTGTATTTCCGTGTCAGTTCAAGATTTCAATTGCTCCACAGGATGCATTAACCAGTTGAAGTACGCAATTCACCTTCTCGCTTTAGAGAACCCTGAGTGGAAAGCACAGTGTCTTCAGTCAGAAAATTAGCTATTGAAAATCACTACAGAAGGACTCCCTTTTATGTAGATTTTTCATAATTCGTGTATGCGGAAGCCCACTAAGATATAAAATTGCACTTGAATATATGTAAGAATTGCGAGAAGAATATCCGGGTACAACTTGCAAGGTGAGTGTGGTATATTAATTCTCAGTGGTATGAAAATCGGTAGACTTATTTATACGGCTAAATAGGTGAAAAATGGCAAAACTAGACTTATCAATAAGGGTTCACGACGAAACGTCTTTTGACAAGATATTGATACAATTTTTCAGAAATTTTGTCAAAAGATTTTGGAATAAATGACTTCATTTACTTCAACCGTTTGTTCTTTCAACTTTTTAGACAAATTTTTTTCTTATAATTTTTTTAACAGGTACTAATTGAATTACGCGGCGTTTTGAAATAAGTGCAAGTACGTAGCACCATAGTTTGTAGTATGGTAGCACTATCCCTAGTTCTGCGTCTTGACATAATCCAAGCCCCGAGACTTTATTTAATACATCACAGCACAACAATACAAGCACAATATAATGCCTCTATTAATCATCAATTTTCATTACAAGACTTATTTTTAAGGTAAACAAATGAAAGCTATGACTATCAGATCAAACCAGAGCTGGATTTCAATTTTACAGATCTTGGTGCTCATCGTGATCGTCCCTTTGATTATTAATGGGGTTTACAGTGAAAAAGGTAGTTGAACGAAGAATGAATTATACTAACACTGCTCAAAATTTCTACCAGTGGAATTGCCAAATAGCATAGAGCGTTACAACATATATTTTATTGTTTAATGCTAAGTATTATTAAAAGCAACTATCTACAGCTATCTATCTTTAGTAAAAAGAAAAAAAAGGAACTAAGACAGACAAAAGAGACAAACCTTTCAGAGAGTTGAGAAAATTACACAATTTGCTACATTACTTAGTTTCTCGTATATTTCTTTTAATTCGTTCACTTATTCATTTTTAACTCGAAGATTGCGAAGCAATCGAAGAGTTATTGGAGGGGGACGAATCTGTCACTCACTCAATCACTCACTCACTCACTCACTCACTTTCCTGTAAACTTGAGCCTGCGTTACTTGTGTTCAAAACTATTTATTTATTCTCATTGTTCTCTATWAATTTTTTCATTAAGTTACCATTACCGGGTTCCCTGTTCTATATTTGATTGAATTTATTTATTTTTTGGCAAAGAAAGAAATCTAAAGAAATGTCAGCTCCTCTGAGTCTTGAACTTCAGAACTGTGAATTAAGCCCCGTCTAGACGAGCAATTTTTATGTGACAATTTTTAATTGCCCGCGGTAGATGAGCAAAATTGGACAAATTTTATGTGATAACTGTAGTTACTGGAAAGCTGGCATGTTAGTTTATGTAATTGTCACATATTGATAATTTCCCGTGTGGACGAGCGTCACATAAATGTGGCAATAATTATTATTTCGACGTCACACTGAATCCAAGTCTCAACATTTTGCACACCAACCAAGATGGCGACACCGATAGTAAGTAGAACGACTGGATTCGACAGAGAGAATGGTATTATTGTTGTTGCAAGAGCTAACGCCAACTAAATTTGTTTTAATAAAACTTTAAAAAATACGATATATTTTTTTWAATCTTAACATGTTTCAGCATTACATTATGCCATCCTCATTCTTCTGAAACATGTTAAGATTAAAAAAATATAAAAATAAAAAATTTATTTAAAATATATATTTAAAAAAATATATAAAAATTATTAAAAAATATATCGTATTTTTTAAAGTTTTATTATCTCTAGTGCTACTACGAAACTATGGTAATTAAATTTGTTTTGTTTATTGACATCTCCGCTGTGCAAAATCACAGTTGGCGCGAGTCTTCAACAATAATTTCTGGCTGCCTGTCAACACGGACAAAAAAAATGTCACATATAGTTGTCACATAAAAATTGCTCGTGTAGACGGGTCTAAGAAATCGAAGGCACTTCCATTCGGCCACGCGTATAATTGTGGTTAGACTTGTCTGTGAAGTGCAGGTGCTCGCTCCTGGTTGTCAAGAATCAAAGTTAAAAATAATTAGTTTTAGTGAAAAAAAAACTGTATTCATAAATCATTCACATTAAGATTGTATTTGTAAAGTAAATCATAATTTGATTCGTCTTACCGTTCAGTCACAAAGGATGAAGCAAGCAAAGAAGACGATCCTCCAAATTCGTCGTTTTGAAAATGATTGTACGAAGGTGCTGGCCCGCGCTTATCGAGAACCCAAGTTCATCTTGATATTTCATTTTAGAGGATGTTAAAATACTTATATCCCTCCTTTTACGCACAGAACACAAAAGACTTGGTTGAGGAAAACTAGTTTCGACTTTACTAAACCTTTTCAATTCACAACAGTTGTAGATCGAGGAATTGAAAAGCTCTAGTAAAGACGAAACTAGTTTTCCTCAACCAAATCTTGTGTGTTCTGTGCGTCAAAGGAGGGATAACAGTTGCTTGACATCCTCTAATATTCTTGCACTCCTTATACATCAACATTCAAAGACTATCTGAATTCAATTTGAAAGTGTTTTTTGCATAATAAAGGCCCATGTGTTACAGGCATCTGTAACAGCACATCTGTTGCTTCTAGATACAAATCCAAAATTTCATTGCGGACTTACTTGGACAGTTTCTTTGTTATCTAGGTTTGAACATAAATGTACCAAAAACACAAATTTCTCTCTCCGACAGATTAAGATATTTTTTAAAAGAAATTTTCCCTTTAGCCTTAATTGTTAAAGCGGATACTATTTGACTGTTTCATGGTGCTAACATGTGATATTGCTTTTTAAACAAAATTGTTTTTTGACACACTAAAACCACACTAAACTTTCAATGAAACATCTTTTGTCTATTGACCGTATCAATTATCGTTGATACGGTTAAACCACAAATTCTTTGATGATCCAATTTAAGTAAATATCTATTTGGCTGTTTGTTGAATAACGTTTATATTGTTTGATTTAATTGGACTAGCGACATCGATTGTTATTATTGGTTTTTGACACTTGCGGTGATTTTTTGCGTCTTTCGCTGCCAGGATGTAGCGCATTTACCCAAAGATCGGACATTTTACATATTTGTGGCTAAAACAAAAGTCCAACTTAGTAGTTTTTGGGTAATTTCATCGGTAATGAATGTGGAGAAATGAAGCCATAACGTAACTTTAAGCTCTTTATGTTGGAAGCCGAGGCGATCATGTGATCACTAGTATTCGTCGATTTGCTTCAACTTTGCTCTGGTATTCTGGTTTTCCTTGCGAATAATTTTWATTAGGCAAACTCAATTTTTTTTCGCCCACCAACATTGAAATTTATATTGTTTGCTTAATAATTGAACTCCAAGTTTTCTCAGGGATTTAGTTGTTATTGTTTTTTGACACTTGCGGTGATTTTATTTGTTTTTCGGATCCAGATGTAGCGCTTCTGGTCGTAGCAGCATTTACTCATAGTTGTAGCTCGAGTGGTATTCATCTCACCGGCGCTCGCTTGTGTTTATCCAGAACCGAAGTTAAATTATAAAACTATATTCATAAATCGTTTATTTAAAATTCTATTCGTTAAGTAATTATAATTTGATTCATCATTATATCTTTCTGTATTCGTCTGCACAATCAATCTTCGAGTTGTGTTGCCATTGGCGGCTTGATTCTATTTATTGATTTGCAGGAAATTTTTTTGGTGAATCTCAGAGTAATTGCTCACGTTACAAACTCTTTGGCAATTCAGAAACAAATAGATGGCAAAAAAAGCCGGAGAGGAATTGGTGGCAGGAAAGTTTGGAAGCTTGTCAAAATGGTTCTTTGGTATGTTTGGAAACAAAGGCGGAGTGGAAATTTGTAAAAGACATGATAAAGCAAAATAAAGTAATTTCATCGGAAATTGAATGGTATATTGGTCTGAAAAAGGAAGGTAATAATTGGAAATGGCTGAGTGGCCATCCATTGTCTTGGACAAAATCATCTGGAGATTGGCCATGGCACATCAATCAGCCATCATCAGACCGTGATTTGGAAGTGTACGGGAAAATGTGGGGCTCTAAGCTATTGTACGATGATGTAACAGGCTGGGAAAGAATTGGTTATATATGTGAATATCGTATTGGTAAATTGTCTTTCTGATTTATTTCCCTTCATCTTCATTATTCATTTATCTTATACTTATCATTATCTTAAAAGTAGGAGAGTAAAAGAGGAAGTTAATTTAGAAAAAAAATCCTTATGCATTTATCATATTTCATAATATAACAGATTCCCCGCAATGTCAAAACAAAGTGGCAAAGACAACAAAAGCATCACGAGTCTTCAAGGAGACAACGACGACAACGACAGGTACATGCAATACTATCACATTATTGTCTAAACGCTAAAATAATTCAGCTAGTAATTTTAGAAGTCAAAGTGTGACTAACATAAAGACAAAAACAACTCACACACCAAAAGTGACTACTTCAAATAACAAAACATCTACGACAACGTCTGCGCTGCCTTCTTCTCAATACAGCTATGACCCCAATCTCTCAGTCTACTCAGGGCAATCCAGATGCTTCTAAACAACGTACTGAATCAAAGAAAACATCGCCTTCATCATATAGAAAAACATCAACCACGAGTCGATATCAGACAGAAAAAAATATCAGGTGCAGGAAAACATGTAATGTGTGCTGAAATCAAATCAAAACAAAGTCTTTTTCATATTTCGATTTTTTTTTGTTATATATTTATTTCAATGTTTGTTACGTTGCACTGTTATTTCAGTACGGCGTTAAATTACGATAAAATTCCGTCAATTTTTCTTGTCCCTTTATACAGGAGGTAAAGGTGAACAAAAAGGCGAATTTCAAATCAAATACATCGCCATTGCGCTGGTGGTGCTCCTGATGTTCTCGATCTGTATGTTGGTAGCGATTTACTGCTGGAAAAATAAGAAGAAAGGTAACATATAATATCTAGTTTTGCTATCTTCAATAGTTTTTATTGGCATTCTTTATTACTAAATTACAGCAACCGCTGCACACATTTTGCTACTGACTTTCTTTTGATTTGTTTGTTTGTTGTTTTTTTTTTTTTCATCAAAGTTTTCGCCCAAAAATGAACTTAGTTTGTGATTGGTCGGTCAATGATCCGCTGTCATCTGAACGCAGGATAATTTGCTTTATTTTTAAATGTGTGATTATCTAGATTCGGGTAAAGCTGGTGTTTCTGAAGAAGATGGGTAAGTAAATACAATATTATGAATAAAACGGTCTCAATATACTACATACTGACAAACCGCACAGGGTAACCACGTGGACAGCGGAAACGGGGAGTGAGGGAAATTCAGTTTATTCATTTATATTTTTTAATGACCATTCACCATTCTAATGGTTTACCAGAATTCAATCTCCAACTACGACAGACGTTAGTGGTATCATAAAAAGCAACTCTTTCGTGGCGTTCAAAATGGTCCACAATAACTTGGCTAATTCAAAACCAACCAGTGCTAAACCTGCCAATGACTCCTCACCAACAGACGGTACCTATGAAGCTGTTTGTCTTAAAAATGAGGAAATGAACTTAAAGGGAACCATAGATAGTAATGTAACATCTGAACCAGAGAAACAAAATATGAATGAGGTCCCGGAAAGTCCCACATCGCACCATAACCAAAATGTAGAAGTCGTCTACGCTTCAGTTGATAAGTCAGCTAAGACGAAGAAAGTAAGTCTGTCTTTTAATTTAATTCATTTATTTTCATCCATGTATTGAGTATTGCATGCATTTATTAAGCAATTCTTCCGGCGAAACATTTAAGCTTATTTGCATCCATTCATCGCATTTTCCATTCGTTTCCATTCACTCATTCTTTTATTTATACAATCAAATAGTAAGCAATAACTCATTTTTGACGGGATCCCTTCATTGCATTCTCATTTTCATTCAAATGCACCGGTTTCTTTTTATATTC